GCAAAATATATTAATACAATAGAGTAAGGAGCACTCAAAATTTTTTTTATGAAAATTACAACAAATAAAATAGTACACAAAAAGTAAAAATAAGTAAAAATAACATGTAAAAACAGAAAATAAAATAAAAGAAAAAGAAAAAACAGTAAAAATGGACTATAAAGCGAGTAGCGAAATCAGATCAACTTACATGGACGAGAGATTTTTCAAGAATGATTTAAAAATGTTTTCGCAGAAAGATTGCCAGATTACAAAATATGAAAACAAAAAACTTCCGCGTAGTCCAATGTTACTACGTAGCGGACTTTCAGTTTTCAACCGAAATTTAATTTGCGTGCTTACTATTACTTATATAAACACTTAACAAATTCATTGCGAGTCAAAGCGGTTAGGTATATTACAGATGCAACTTTTTGGGCGATGCCTTCGTATTCGTTATTTTTAAACGATGAAGTGAATTTTAAAACTCTAAACTCCCACAACTTAAATTTATAACCACTGTTATAAATTTATAGTAGAAACTGAAACCTCGTAAAAACTGAAGACTTTTAAATTCATTAAAAAAGAAGACTAAATTAAAAAAACGTACCAAGCTGATACAAAAGGAAGACATCACTTTATAAATTTATTTAGTTTCCTTAGTTTTTTCTAAAAATTAAGAAAGAACAAATCCTCATAAAAAAAAATTGAAAAATTTGAATTCAAACGATTTGTCCATTTTCGTATTCACCCGTTTCGAACTACGTCCAGATTTAAAATCTCTCCAACGAACTATTTAAATAAACTGGAACCTTTACATCCTCCTGTTCGCTCAGCTCACCAACCTACTAGCTTGTCATTCATCATATTAAAAAACACTATTTTCAACAAAGAAAAAGAATATTTTTGTAATAAAATGAGAAGTTATCACAAAATTATCTAAAAACATTTCTTCTCTATTTGAATAGTTAGTTAAAGATCGATAACCAGTATTTGAAACAAAAAGCAATAGTGCTTGAGAAAATGAAATAAACGTAGGAATGCAGATTGCTTGTATCAAGTAGAAAAGATAAATGATTTTACACGTCAACAAGACTTGTAACAATTTCAGAGGTCAAATTAGAAATGATTATTATCTCTAGAATTAAGTTTCCTAATATTTTAAAAAAGTTCAATTTAAATATTAAGATATTTACCAATAGAAAAAATATTCAGTAATGATCTCGGAAGACATACATTTTCCGACAACAATAGATAAACAGTCATTATTTTTAAGTAAACAAATAAACAAGTGAGACTAGAGAAACACGAAAAATCACTTGAAATTGCAATCATTTTTGAACATTTAGAATTTAAAAAAAAAAAAAAAAAGCACTTCTGCAGAGTTAATAAATAAAAATGGTTTTTCAACAAGTCAAATTTCAACTCTGTAGTTGCAGTTCTGTGGGCTTCATAAAAGTCTGCATTGTATTTTTTATTATAATATTCTATCTATTGTTATTGAACTTTTTTCATCTAAATTTTACTCCTTTTTTATCATTGACATTTTACTTAAATTTCATATAAACAATCGAAATATTAAATAAATTATGGATTATTGATTGATTAAAAACATAAAATTATGATTGCTTTTAAAGAAAATCCTAACTTTTCGAACCCTTGTTATTTTTGCATGGAAGCCCATTTGAGAACAGTGGATCTGGAGTTATACTTTTAGAATAGTCTTTAGAGAAATTCCTTTTAAAGACGATGTTGTCTATTGTTTTATGTGTTGAGGTATAAGTTTTCTTATACCTCAACACATAAAACAATTGAGGTATAAAATTTGAATATATATAATGCATTTTTTCCAACTTTGTACTCATTGATTGTAAAAATGCTTTTTTTTTTCATGCTGTGGATACTTGACGAAAAATAATTAAAAATTCCAGAAAAGCGAGGAAAATATTTTTTAAACAATTTATAAAAAGCGAACTTGATAAATACACTCTATAACAAAGAAATCGACGCACCACGAAGCAATCATCCGATTACTTTGAAATTTCGTATGCATGAAGGTTTTAAACAGATATGCAAATGATTAAAATTTGGTGTCCAATGAACGAATAGTTTGATCTCTGGCGCATCGGAACTGCGCATCCAGGAGACGTAATAAGGAGCAGTTCTTCAACGGTTGTTATAACTTTCGGTTTGATTGTGATTCAGATTACCTTTCAACAACTTAAAAAATGTCTCGCTGCAGGATTCGCCCTCATTACGAACAACTTTCAGAGTTTGACAGAGGTCGTATCATTGGATTGAAAGAGGCCGGTTGGACAAATCGGAGAATCGCTCGTCATTTGAGTCGGAAGTTAATAGGGGGATGCGGAGATTCGAAGATGCTGGCAAGGATGGGTGGAAAATGGCAGAGTTCAGCGTCAGGATGGTATCGATCGACATAGGGCTACAACAGAGCGTGAGGACAGAGTGATTGTCCGAGCAGCTGTCACAGCGCCTTCTTCATCTCTATCAACCATCAGACGTTCAACCCAAACACCAGTGTCCACCATGACCATTCACAGAGTGTTGAGAGAACGAAATCTACGCTCGCGGCGACCGTTACGCCACCTTCCACTCACGCCTGCGCACTGCCGAGCCAGATTACAGTGGTGCATTTCTCGATCAGGCTGGAATGATGCCGATTGGGGACGGAAAGTCTTTAGCGACGAATCTCGCTTCCAACTGTGTCCTGACGATCATCGAAGACGTGTTTGGAGACGCACAGAGTAGGGGGGGATCCTTTCTTCACTATTGGGCGCCACACCGGCCCTCAACAACGCATTATGGTCTGGGGTGCCATTTCCTTTGACAGCCGGACCCCTTTGGTCGTCATTAGAGGTACACTTACTGCACAGCGGTACGTCGACTACATCCTAAGACCTGTTTTGCTACCGTTCCTTTTGTAGCGCCTTTGACTGGTTTTTCAACAGGACAATGCCAAATCACATACGGCACGTGTTGCTATGAACTGTCTACAAGCTTGTCAATTTCTTCCTTGGCCTGCCAGATCACCAGATCTCTCTCCCATCGAGCATGTCTGGGACATGATAGGAAGGCGATTGCATCTGGCACGGAATGTTGATGACCTCGTTCGTCAATTGGATCGAATTTAGCAGGAAATACCGCAAGAGACCATCCGGGAGCTTTATCGGTCTATGCCACGACGTGTGGCAGCTTGTATCCAGGCTAGAGGCGGGTCAACACCTTATTGAACTTGTTACTGTAACTCCGTAATAGATTATTCAATTGTTCTGAAATTTTAATCATTTACTATTCTGTACATTGTCTTCCTATCCACCAATTTTCGTTTCAATCGGACAAATCCTTCTTGGTGCGTCGATTTTTTTTGTTATAGAGTGTATCTCTATTTGACGTCAAAACATAATGATCTAACACAGTTTTCCATTGTTGTTAGCACATTTTTATTATCGTATGGGAATATCCAGTTTTCCCTCATTAGTTTCCATATTTTTGTTATCATCAGCATGAAATTAATAAAGGTCATAAAAGTGCTGTTTTCCTAAAAATTATTTTTATGTCTCTTATTTAAAGGTACTTGTAATATTTATTTTTCCTCATTAGTATTCCTTTCTATTATTACCTTTACGTTACGTTCTGTACTTATGTGAATATTTTCAACTATCGTAGAAAAAGTTATTTCATGCCAAAAAAAAACAGTTACTGCTTAGCAATCATCGGGGTTTGTGAGCGGTAGTGAACAGGGGGCTCAGCCCCTTAGTATATATTTACCCAGTTCCGTTATGTACATGAATGTAAAACTGCTCACTAGTTCTCGGAATAAACTTCAGACAGGTGTTGTCATTAAAATAATCAAAAGCCTTATAAAGGCCTGCTAGCTTTACGGCTGTAAAAGTGAAATGACATCAATAAAGATATAAAAAATTGAATGAAATAAAAATTAACATACATAAATAAGTTTTTAAGCAAATACTCCGATGCACCGACTTCAAAGAATATATAAGGCCGTATAGGAATGTATAAAGCCGTATACATATGCCGTATAAGACCACATACGGCAAGGGACTGAGGCGGATTTAAACCAATTCATTTAACTATTGTAAACATAACTAAAATATTTACTCAACCATTTCAAAATTAAAATACATTCCTTCGTTTCAGGAAGTTAACGCTACGTCAAAGGTTGAAACAGATAATACCAAAAAAAAAAAAAAAAAAAAAAAAAAAAAAAAACGTCCTGAACCGTCAAAAAAAAAAGTATTCTTAATCAGAGAAAGAACGTTCTTGTGTCTGATTTCTTAACTTAAAATAACTGCACTAATAAATAGTATATTTGAGGTCACCCTCTCGAACCATTAAGATAGAGTCTTTTAGTTCGTGAAAATCCGGTCATTAGTTCTAAAGTTATTCAGTTTAAGGACTGTGCATAGTCCCTTAATTCTTTTTTAAAGATACGTACAGGCTTTGCGTAATTGTTCTTTAAGAAGAAAGTGAATTCCTATAAATGCAAACATTGCATACAATTTCAGACCCAAGTAAATATTTCCAAATTTGAAAAAGGAATCCGAATTAAATTCGTTTAATGGCTAGTAAAAAAGTGCCATATATAATTACAAAAAAAGGTGACTTTTCGGTGGTAAAACTTTGGGGTGCTTCCCCTACAATCTTCCTTCCACCCTGAGTAACAAATAAAATGAAAGGATATTATTTTTTTACTGCGTTAATTTATACTGGTAGACAAAACCAAGTTAACTGTTATTTTTCATGTAACGTAATTCTTTAATATAAAACAAAAGTAAAATATTAAAAATAAGACTAAATAAAAACTAATAGTTACGATCAATGTTCCTGTTCACAAAATACGGTATTACTCCACTAGGCCACCTGAAAATAGGAAGTCGTTGACCGTTTCTGTCTGCTTCCTGAAAATTGAAATGGTAATATTCAATCTCGGTGAACAATATATATATATATATAAGTTCAAAATGAAGATAAAACAAAGGAAAATTATTGACATATGCA